GGTAGTGGACCCAATGTGATAAGGGCAGACCCCTACACAGGAAGAAGGGGCAAGAGGCCCACCACCTGACAAGGGCAGCCCCAGGTCCTGCCTGATTGCTATGTTCTGCTGGTCCAGCTAAGAGCATGTATTCTTCACATAATTATGAGACAAACACATTTCAGAAAATACCAGGAGAAGCTCAACGTCTAGTAAGGTTTATGCTTTGCTCCCTCCCTCTCCAATGTCTCTCTGTCTTGTTCCTCCAACTCCCAAGAAGCCTGTGTCACCATGGCCTGGCCAGGGCACATACTCAAAGGACTTCAACCAAATGCGCCTGCAAGTAGCTGGGTTGAGGACTCAGTCTTTATTTCCTTAACTAATAGATGGCATCCTTACGAATTACAAACACTCTTGAAAAGAGGCCAACGTGCAGGGGTTTTTGAAAGGGTTGCCTTCTAATGAGACTGCTTGGTGGTGCCTGGAGCATAGGGGGTATTCATTAATACTGGTTAGGTGTAAGGAGGAGTGGACTGTGGGACTTCATGAGCAACAACAGGGCAGCCAGTACACGGACCACGCTTGAGGGCTTACATCCAAACCTTCCCCCTGAAGGATGATTCACGGATAAAGTGACATGTCTGAGAGTTCAGTGAGAAACAGGAATATAGCCTTGCTGTTGCCTGGTGTGGTAGAAGGTGCTAAATAACCTCCACTCCAAATGACTGCTGGGCTGGCCAGACAAGTTCATCTGTTCCTTGCAAAGGTGCATTCCCAGGCCTCAGCTCAGAGCAGCCAGACTGGGTCTCAGAATAGGAAACTGCACTAACGCATCCTCTACACTGTATGCACTGTGGGCCTCTTTGTGGGAGTACTTTCCCAAAGTGCTCCCATTCGTAAACGTATCTTGTATTGTGTGAGGTTTTCAACTAAAAGCAAAGACAATGATACTCCTTTTCATCTCCCTTTAATTTTCTTATTGCACCAAATCAAAGCAAAGCTGTGAGTGAGTAGAGTATAGCGTTCTCAAAAGGCACAGGTCATGTGCATCAGATTGTTATATCCAGGTTTGCAAACCTAGACCTCATTCCAAATCAAGTGAAAGAACTTCAGGGTCCTAGAAAAAAATGTATTCAGCAGACTCCAAAGATAATTATTTCTCGCACTAAAGTATGAGTATGATGCAAATAGCCAGAGATATTTGGAGTTGGGGGAAAAGGACTGAGTTCAATTTTTCTCACAAACCAACATCTGAGTCCCTTGAATTTCTCCAAGAACTCATTTCTAAAACAAAGGGAAAGTATCTCCTCATTGATTGGTTACTGAGTCAAATGACAGTACACTTGAACTTTCTTTAGAAAGACTAATGGAATAACATTCATTCAAAATCTGAAAGGACAACAAAAACCAGGTCTGGGGGAAATAAAGATGAGAAGATCTGAGCAAGTGATTTCATTTTACTTGGATCTACAACTAATGTCCATGGAAGTAGTAATTGAGCTATCAAGAGACCTTCTTGAAAATGTTTTAAAAAAACAATGATGGAATACGACACAGCTCACAGGAGCAATGATTTTGTAAATTCCTACCTAATCTGAGAGGGATTGGAAAGCATTATAATGAGTGCAATAACACAGTCCCACAAGGACAAATACTGTATAAAATCATTATTGTAGAATGTATATAAGAATCCAAGGTGGGGGGGGGAGAGGGTGGAAGCAGAGGGGTGAGGATGGGCGGGGGAGGGATGTTAATCAGAGGGTTGCACAATTTGAGGGGTGGAGGGAGAGGTGGGTCAAGAAAACAGGGAAGATCCAGTGTGAAAAACAATATATACAAACTTTATAAGTAAACCAGTATAAAATAAAAATTTTGTTTTTTTTAAAAAGAGAAAATGTTTAAAGAAACAAAGCTGTTACTTTCAGGACTAAGGTACATCTGACCTAAGCCACAGTAGTTTCAATTGCCTCATGTATACATGTGAATTCTGGTCAATGGCGAAGGCTGAAGATGACGTGATGCCTTTGAATTATGGTGTTGGCAAAGCATATTGAACGGATTGTCAGAACAATCAATCTATCCTGGAAGAGGTACAGCCAGAATGGGCCTTAAAAGTGAGGATGCCGGCGCTGACTGAAAATCGCCTGTGACTTCATCCATAGCCACTGGTGAGAGCGCCCAGAGCCATCAGGGGCTTTAAGCTCGTTGCCCACTGCTGTGGTGTGGACAGCTGAAACCCAGGCCCCGACAGGCACCTGGGGGGGGGGGAACCCAGACTCTACTTCATGCTCTGCTGGAGAAGAAGGGGCAGTCTCCTGTACCAGTCAGATCCAATTTGACGGTACACACACACACACACACACACACACTTTTTCTTCTTCTTTTTTAAAAAAAGAATACCTCTGCCTGGGGCGGGCTGCCCTTGGCCCCCGGCTTGGAGCGAGCCGTTGCAGCCCTCTGCCCTGGGCGAGCCGTCACGGCTCCCTGCCTGGGGCGAGCGGTAGTGGCCTTCTGCCAGGGGCGGGCTGCCCTCGGCCCTCTGCCTGGGGTGAGCCATCGCGGCCCTCTGCCCGGGGCGGGCTGCCCTCGGCCCTCTGCCTGGGGTGAGCCATCACAGCCCTCTGCCCGGGACGGGCTGCCCTCGGCCCCTGGCTTGGGGCGAGCTGCCCTCGGCCCTCTGCCTGGGGTGAGCCATTGTGGCCCTCTGCCCGGGGCGAGCTGTTGCAGCCCTCTGCCTGGGGCGGGCTGCCCTCGGTCCCCTGTCCGGGGCGAGTCGTCGTGGCCCTCTGCCCGGGGCGGGCTGCCCTCGGCCCCCGGCTCGGGGCAAGCTGCCCTCGGCCCTCTGCCTGGGGTGAGCCATCGCGACCCTTTGCCTGGGGTGGGCTGCCCTCGGCCCTCTGCCCGGGGCGAGCCGTTGTGGCCTTCTGCCTGGGGTAGGCTGCACTTGGCCCCCGGCTCGGGGCAAACCGTCGCGGCCCTCAGGAGCAAGAAGGCAAGCAGCTGTAACCCAAGACCACCAGTAAGGTGATAAAGCGTCCTCCCTTCCCCCCTTTATATCTACGCCCCTGTTCAGCATGAAGAAGCAGGAGAGTCGGCATCCAATTCCCAAATCAATAAGACAGTTGGTTTAATTACTATTGGAAAATGCTTGTCATTCCTCTGTAGCATCTGGTCCCCACTGGACCCTCATCATTTCCTTCACCTGCTCCCCCCACCGACCAAACTGTGCAGCTCTGCAACTGCATCCTGGCCCATCCTCACCCTTCTGCCCCCAACCCTCACCTCCTTGTACCCCCAATATGTTTTTCCCAATAAAAAAAAATTATAAAAGAAAAAAAAATAAGGATGAAAACAATTATGAGATATCATCTCACCCCAGTTAGAACAGCAAAATTTAACAGAACAGCAAACATCAAATGCTGGTGAGGTTGTGGAGAAACGAGAACCCTTATTCACTGTTGGTGGGAGTGTAAAATGGTGCAACCACTATGGAAGGCTATATGGCACTTTCTCAAAAAGTCGCAAACAGAGATACCATTGACCCAGCAATTCCACTACTGGGAATATACCCCAAAGAGACCATATCTGCCACACAAGCAGATATATATGCACACCCATATTTACTGCAGCTTTGTTTGCAATAGCTAAGAGATGGAAACAACCCAAGCGCCCTTCAACAAACGAATGGATAGAGAAGCTCTGGTATATTCATACAATGGAAAATTATGCAGCATTGAAAAACAAGGAACTCATGAAACATTATGCAAAAAATGGACAACCCTGAGGACATTATGCTGAGTGAAATATCTCGGTTACAAAAGGACAAGTATTGCATATGGCCACTGCTGTAACATGGGACTGACATCAGGGTTGAGGGAAGACAGAAAAGGAGGGGAGGAATGATGTATATTGCATTGAAACAGATGAGTGAGAGAACTGTTTAAAAGGGATATATGAATGGGTATTCACATCATTACAGAATTCCAGAATGAAGGCTGCTTAGTGGAGTGGACTTGAGGGGAGGGATTGCATAACAATGAAAGAGTTTTTCCTTTTTCTTTTCAAGGAGAAGAGTGGATTGGGGGAAGTGGTGGGCAGGGAGAAAATGAATGACTGGAAACCCCAAGTCTTTGTAAACGTTCATTTAAATCAATTAAAAAAAAGTAAGGATGGAGACAGTTCATCACGTACCCTCTGGACACATTATCAGGAAAGAGTAGTTCCTAGAGAAGGACACTAAGTGTCAGCAAAAGACGAAAACTCTCAGTGGGACTGACTGGGGAGGAGCTGCAATAACGGGTCCAAACCCAGCAACAACCAAGGCTGGCACAGGACCAGGCAGAGCCTTGTTCGCTTGTACACTGGGCCGCTGTGAGTCAGAACCACTCAATGACACCACCAACAACAATTTTCAATATCACCATTCTTCTACTTACATTTGTAATTAATATTATCAACCATAACGATACCAATAATGATAGTAAAAAATTTATTCAGGATTTATTCTTCAGGAGGGATTACGGGAAGATATGTTTATGTGTTGCCTCATGAAGTTGGTGCTATTAAGTGACCCCATTTTGCAGATGAGAAAACTGATGGAGACAGATTAAGAAATTCAACCAGAGATATGGATGAGGGAGCCTAAATCCAGCGCTCTGATTCCATGCCATGTTGGTGTTCTATGGCTTAGACCCACTTGGCCTAGTCCAATCACAGCCAAGCCCCAAGGTTCACTCCCTCATAAGGATCTCAAGAACAACAAGAGAAAACTTTCTAAGAACATAGATAGATTCAATTGTTGTGAATAGTCTGATAAATTAGCCTTCCAATATGAGTAATGCAGTTATCAAGACTATGCAGTGCGATTTTCCATCTAATTAATTTTCTGGAATCACACAATTTTTCTAGTCCATTCACATATTCAGTCAGCACACAATGAAGAACTACCATGTAGCCAGGACAGGGCTAATAAAGCTGGAAAAGCTCAGCCTCTTCCCACCCAGACCCAGCCTCCCACTTACCTTCTGCAGACTGGCCTTCTCTTTTCAGCATCTGGACAGCTCCTACATATTTCTTCAGCTGGACTTTGAGCACCTCGTTTTCTCTGCAGAGAAAAGAATGTTTGAAAAGAAAAGTGTTTACAAATTGGTAACTTAGGCTTGAGACTGAGAAATCCTATGTAAAGGAAATGTGCATTCTGTAAACATTAACTTATGCTTTGTTTCAGAGATTATCATTGGATAGGCCTGTGTTCCCAGGGCACTTGGCATGCCTTCAAGATGCTGGAGTGAAGCGCTAATTCTGATGGTGGTGTTAGCTGCTGTCAATGCTGCATCACAGAGACCCCATGAGTTCAGGCAGGACTGGTCTGCGTGGCTTTCAAGGCTGTGACGTCTCAAGGGCAGATCACAAAGCCTGTCTTTTGAGGCTGCTCCAGATAAGGTCAAACCACTAATCATCCAGCTAGTTGTCAAGTGCTTAACCTTTTCTCTTTGCACCAATAGTGCCCACAAACTCAGGACATGGACTGTGTCATGCTTGAGCTGCCAGCCTCGATCATCTGTTAGCTGCCTGTTCTATCTAGTTCAGGCACTCTATGATATTTTCTCTATGTTACCGAAGCTGAATGGAGTAATGGGTCTTCACTCAGGAGAATACCTGAATATTTCTATTAAAAGCTTCATGGGGGGTTGGGAAGAGGAAAATGTGCAACAATGAATGAATGGCAATCCAAGTTTTCTGTAAACTTTCGTTAAAATATTAATTTTTTTAAAGGAGGAGAAGCTACATTTATTGAGCACTTAAAATATTCTAAGCATCATGTTCCAAATCTTGTAATTTAGTCTTTCCGAGAGTACTATGGGTTGGTCCTAGCAAAACTCCCATTTTGCAGATAAGGAAACAAGAGGATTACAGATGCGAAACAACAGATCAAGTCCAAATTCATACCCCATTAGAGTATGGAGCATGGAATCAAGGCTCTGAGAAGACGCCATGCTATTGAACGTAATGACTAGGGAAAGATAAGGATCAAAGGAGAAAACCTCCATGCTCATTATTTGTACCCTCACCTCTCAGAGTGCAGGCTTGACCTATGTAACCTGACTGCATCAAGAATGCAGTCGTCATGTGTTCATGCGTTCGTCTGTATTCTGCGTGAAAATGTGTATTGAGTGTCTACAACACGTCAGGCGCAGTGATGCTGGACTGGACTGTGCTCCCAAGTTTACAAAGGACGAAAGGGGCACAGAGCAGAGAAGATCTCTGACCACGGACACAAGGAAGACATATGGCTGAGATTTAAACCCAGTCTCTGCCCTACAGCCCACATGAGCCTTGGGCTACAGAATTTGAACTTGGTTTCTCACAAACTCTATCCAAACACACATGACTCTCCCCAAATAGCTGTTTCAGTCACCCAATGCCTTGAATCTAATTCCTTTACATGCACTTTAAATGTTCTTCCCCACTCTCAATAAAAGGAGCTTTAAAGTTGGGCTTCTTCTCTACTAGAAAACGAAAAAGTCATTGAAATTATGCAAACAATTAGAACACATTTAAGAGGGGATGTATAACTCAGCTGAAAAGCCAGCACCCTGAATTACAGCCATTAATATTTGTATATCCATCCTGTGATGCTTTTCCCTAGGCACAGACAAGGGTACTCATTCACAATCAAACCACAGATAAATCAGAGAGAGTTTATATAATAAGATCACATGATAAATTTCATTGCTACCTGGTGGTCTCATGCATTCAACAATTCACTCATAAATGCCTCTTCTCATTATCTTTCCTCAGCCTAGGTATGATACACCCTTAATTAGTTGGGAAAACTTGGGGTGCCCAACACCGGCTCAGCTTGTCTGTCCATTTTCAATCTATCTGACCACCTCGTAGCTCACAAAGATGACAGTCTGTCTTGCATCTTATTCTGTGAAATGATATTTCAAAACAAGGGGAGAAAAAAAAATGAAAGGGAAACCCAGAAACCACCATCTATCTATGTGAGTCTCTCCCGAGAGCTACATACTCGTCTTGGAAGCTACAGACAGTTAACCACCAACGATCGTGCTGTATTCTCACCTGTTAGGGAAGGTCACTGCGTCGGAATCAACTCAGCTGCAGTGAGCTTGAGTGTGAATTTTATTCTAGACAGCCGTCATGGCTGGCTCTGGAGGTGTCTGCCTTTCTCTCTCTGGGGTGTGAACAGCAAGTGTTTGAAACGGAATCACTAACACGTCCTGGAAGGGTTTTCAGGAAGGAGAATCTTCCAGACATACACGTACTGCACAATTTGTCTCCTGGGATTTCTTGAGCCAGAGTCTCTTCACCCATTCCAGTTGCTAACCCCCAAACCCACAATGGAATTCAAGGGCACTTTAAAGGGCAGGGTTCAGAACTGTTGTTGCTATGGGTTGTAGATGACTCGATGGCACCTAACAGTAACAACACTACTTTAAAATTAGGGATGAGAAGCAATTTGTATGTTTCTATGTGGTTCAAGGGAACTCTGGTGGCTTAATGGTAAGAAACGGCACAGCCAGTGCAAAGGTACAAAGTTCTAATCTACCAGTTGTTCCATGAAAGAAAGATGGACAATCTCCCATGTGATTTGCCATCTATGAAAATGCACTGGAGGGTCACCTATGTGTCGGTTCTGACTCGATGGTACATAACAACAACAGCATCAGTCAGGTGGCCCCTCTTTTCCTTTGCTCACCTTAAAACTACAGCCAGAATGGAAATATCTCAGGTAGCGGCATTTGTTCTGGTTTTCATCAGTCTTCTAATAATATATTAAGACTACCTAAAAATTCAGACCTAACAGATGAAAAAAAAAAATAGGGAAGTTGTGTTGTGTGTGTGTGTTTTGTTTTTTTTTTTTTTAAAGACGACTCCAATTCCCATCAAAAGGAGAAGAGAATGGATCAAACAGATGGCCACCTTCTGGACTCAACAGCTCCGCTCTGTCCCACTGAGCTTGTTGGCTGTTGGCAGGGAACTAACACTTCGAGTTCATAAAAGTCTACTGCCATTGGATCCATTCCAGCTCACAGCAACTCTGCAGGATAGAGCAGAGCTGATCCCCATGGTTCCCACGACTGTGAGCTTTACAGAAGGAGGGCACCTCATCTCTCTCCTCTCGAGTAGCCGATGACTGTGAAGCACCAACCTTTCATGAACCACTGCATTGCCAGAGACCCTTGTCAAGTCACTCATTACTGCCATTAGAATCAACTCATAACGGACTCTCCAGCAGGTTTCAGAGCCCGTAAATTGTACAGGGGGAGACTACCATCATTCTTCCTCAGGGCTGCTGGTAGAGGCGAACCCCAAAGAGGCTAGCCTGTGTGATACCAGCAGAACTCTCTACAGACAAGGTCACAGGAGCTTCTGAATGCAACTCTGATACTTGGGTGGGTGACTCTCTGGAGGCTCCAAAGAACAACTGCTCTTGGCCCTCAGAACAGATTATGACCCTTTTCCACTTTCTCTTTTGTTTTGAAACAATTCTAGACTCACAGAGACTAAGAGAGCTGTACACCCTAAATCCATTTTCCCTCAGTTACTTCAGACATAACTATTGGGTAACATAAAAATTGAAAAAAAAAAAAATGGCAGTCGTATAATTTGTATGTAAACTTGAACAAGCCCATTCCTTTAATTGGAGCTCACGTTAATCCCTTGTCATGGTGTTTAACAGGGATTACAACCTAAACAGTCAAAGAAGTCAGAAAGTACAGCAAGCCACACAAGCACAAGACCAGAGGGAGCTGGGGCCCCTGGGCTGCAATTACATGAAGACTTCTTGCCCTGCCAATAATGAGGGGTTGCAGGGAGTGGGGGTGGTAATTTTGTTTTTAAATTAACACGTTATTAGACCTAGAAAAATAATTGCATCTGGGTTGTACCAGAGTTGGTCATGTGAAAAGTTTAGGCCTTCCTTGAAATTCTTCCACATTAGCTGAGACGTGAGAAGTAGTTCATGCAGGTATATGCTGTCTCTTGTTTGTAGCGATGCCTCTGCAGATCCATTGCCATTGGGAAGATTCTGGCTCAGAGTAACCCTACAGGATGGAGAACTGTCCCACAAGGTTTCCAAGGTAGTGATCTTTACAGGAACAAACTGACCTATCTTTCTCTGCCGGAGCAGCTGGTGGGCTCAAACCACCAACCTTTCAGTTGACAGCTGAATGCTAACCACGGTGCCACTAGGGTGCTTTCTGATCCCTACACATTCACTGTGAAATATACTTAGCTGTCTATGACACAAAAGCATTTGGCTCAGAGAAGGGCACATATGTACAAGAGACCAACCGAGGTGCTCTCATTTGATCTGCACTCCTCATTTTAGAGAGCTTGGGTGGCCTACTGTTAAGGAGTTATGCTGCCAACCCACAGGTATGTGGTTTGAATTCACCAGCTGTTCTGCTGGAAAGACACAGGCAATCTTGTCCCTTGTGATTGACTGCCTCTGAAAATCCACTGGAGGGTTAACTATGGGTCAGTTCCAACTCAATGTTATACTATAATCAGCACCACCACTCTTATTTTAAAAATTATTCTGTTTTACAGGTGAAAATATTAAAGTTCATAGAGGTTAAGTGATCTATCAAGGAAGGAAAGAAAACCCATCAAAAACCAAAGGAGTAAGAAAAATCCCACATCTAATACAAAGCAAGGATACAATTCACACTTAAGTCTCTCCTCAGTTTGTGTCTTCTTCTCTCTCACATGCATGGCCTAATCCTGAATTATCAACACTGCAACAAAAGGTTGGTGTTTTTAGTCATTAGTTGGCCATTTCCAGTCTCAGCTACCTTAACTACAGACACATAGTCTTGTAAATCAGTATCAGCTGTCAGACTAAGATAAGAGAAAGAGCGCTTCCCATATTGAGCAGCAAGACTTGAGGTGGGGCAAGGCTTGGGGCATCAAGGCCTTAGTGTGAGGAAGACCATGGTGGTGGAGAGACTGTGGCATTGCTGTGGACAAACGGTGACAAGGTATGACATGAGGTTTCTTACATCTGTGCTGGTCACAGTTAAAGGTTTGGCTGTTCTTGCTGGATGTTTGAAGAAGCAGCTGACTTAGAACTGC